AGATTGTCCTGATCAAATCCTCCTTGGCGCTGATGAGTGGAAGATCTGTCCACAGCTCAACTTGGCTATCTATTTGGACAAGTGGCTGACTCTGAATCCAAATGCCGTGCACCTGTTCACCGAAAATGATGATGCGCAGAAAGACCCCCACAACCTCAATCAGCAATATAGCAACCGAATCAAGACGACTGTGTGGAAACATGATGAGTTCACAGCCCTAGAAGATCAAGTCGGAGCAACTAAGAAGGGGGTTGGCACTCATAGCATGAGAAAGTTTGCTTCAACAAAAGCTTCTCGAAAAGGAGCGAATACGAGCATGATTGAGTATCGTGGACGATGGGTAGGAGACAAGAGTGGTCGCGTTGTGGCCCTTCGGTACATTGACAAGACAGATAACTATGCCGACGCCTTTGTTGCAGGCTTGTTGTGTGATGGTGGACCAATCCGGTACCAGGCTTGCCTGAATATTGGGGACGAATTTCTCCACACTCACGTTGTCAGCCATGTCAAGCAGAGGTCGAACGACTTGAGGCTTCTTCGCGTGCTTGGTCTAGCCAAGCTTTGGGCTGCTTTTGATGAAGACGCAAGCAGTCTCCTTGAAGACGAAGAAGTGCAGTATATTCGTGGAGTTTTTACTGCTCAGTACGGTCCTATTGAGGGAAATCCAGTCAAGAAAGTGGCTATTGAGATCTATAATGTTAATGGAGAACTGGATATCCGCGACAGAGCTTCCGCTGCTGGCAATGGCGGCGGCGCCGCAGGTCCTCCCGCCGCAGGTCCTCCAGCTAACGGTGGCCAAGGAAATGGTGGTGGTGGCCACGGTGGAGGCCCAACCAACAATCAAGTCATCAGCTACTTGAAGGCCGTGGAACAGAACATGATGAATCAGTTCCTGCAACAACAAGCAAGAGAGGAGGCTCAGCGAGCTTGGCTAACTCAGCAGGTCAACAAGCTGCTGGTCAATCAGAGGCGATTCGGCGCTACAATTCCACAAGCTTTCAGTCGACAAGATCCAAGGCAGAATGCAGCCCGCCGTGCTCATGCCGACAGAGTTGATGAGCAGCAGCAGGGTGAGATCATCGTCCACACTAACAGATTGCTGGTTGGGAACGACCCTACTGCAAGGCTCTCTGACAGACCAAGGTCCATCAATGAATTGTGGGAGGAGTTTACTTATGGCATTGGCGGCAACAAGCCTGCCAAGGACTTTACCATGGCTGAGTCGAACAACAAGGTAGGCAACATCAAGCAGAAATACTACAGGCGCAGGGCTCTGTGGAGAGTGCAGGACTACTTGATTGCAAGGTGCAATTACACCAACCATGAGGCCAACGCGAAGATTCAGACCTGCTACAACTCTTCATTGGTGAGCAACATCATCAATGGCATCATCAAAGATAGCAAGAATCCACTCTACCCTGTCATCGGCGTTACCGAAACACGTCGGAAGCAGTTTCACATCAATCCACAGCTCCACACCTCGACCAACTAAGCAACAACCACGCGGTAGTGGACTTGGACGAATTTGTTGACCAGTGATAAGTCTGCTGGCTCACTGAAACAACCAAGTTAGCGAAGAGTTAGAGTGCGCGAAGATGCCAAGACCAACAGAAGACCCAACACGTAAGTCCATTTCCTCTCCATGTACAGACAGTACTGGCCCTACAGGATAACACTCACAGTCACTCGTTTTGTGCTCTTCTGTTGAAGACAAATAGAAGAAGGATGACATGTTTGAGATTGCACTCTTCTTTCAAGCTAGCCCTGGCGACAACACACGACTTCGTCGTGTGTTGCCGCCCGGTATCATTCCCTCATTGTAATCTTCTTTTTTATTTAGGCTAGCCCTGGCGACAACACCCGACTTCGTCGTGTGTTGCCACCCGATAACCATAATTTTACAGCTGTCATTCCCTTATGTAACTGTAACCTTTGTAGCTTCTGCTGGCTTATTGTGATGAATGCACTAACCTTGAATAATTACGATTTTATTCCTACCCCTAAACTTGTTAAACCTTCAATTTCTAGTGTTGTTGGCTTACACCTATCTCTATCCCTATATTTTGGCTTCACCGGAACAGGAAATAGGAAATTCGGTTTTTTTCAGCGTTCGTCTCTTGATTCCTTACTTCCAGCTCCATATGGTACACCCAAATACCTTGCATTGGATCCTTATGACGAATACATGCAAAACTGTCAATCCAGCCATTGTAGCCGGCTGCCGTATAGTTACATCGGCGACAGTGGCTGGCAACAGTACCGAACACACTCAGGTTTGGCTTGGCTCGCTACACTCCAATCGTTGCATTGGATACTTATGATGAATACATGCGCAACGAATATTGTCATCCAGCCATTGTAGCCGGCTACCGAAAGTTACATCGCGACAGTGGCAACAGTACCAAACACACTCAGGTTCGGCTTGGCTCGCTACACTCCGTTACTTTGCATTTGATCATCATGGCGAATACATGCGCAACTGAATATTGTTAATCCATCCATTGTAGCGGCTACCGTAAAGTTACATCGGCGACAGTGGCAACAGTACCGAACACACTCAGGTTCGGCTTTGCTCGCTACACTCCGGTACAAGTACCTCATATTGGATCCTTATGACGAATACATGCACAACCGAAGATTGTCAATCCAGCCATTATAGCGAACACACTCAGGTTCGGCTTTGCTCGCTACACTCCGGTACAAGTACTCGTATTGGATCCTTATGACGAATACATGCACAACCGAATATTGTCAATCCAGCCATTGTAGTCGGCTGCCGACAATACATGTTGTCAATCCACCATTGTAGCCGGTACCGTATAGTTACATCGGCGACGTGGCTGGCAACAGTACCGAACACACTCAGGTTGGCTTGGCTCGCTACACTCTAATCGTTGCATTGGATACTTATGATGAATACATGCGCAACCGAATATTGTCAATCCAGCCATTGTAGCTGGCTACCGTATAGTTACATCGGCGACAGTGGCAACAGTACCAAACACACTCAGGTTCAGCTTGGCTCGCTACACTCAACTCCGTTACTTCACATTTGATCCTCATGGTGAATACATGCGCAACCGAATATTGTCAATCCATCCATTGTAGCCGGCTACCGTATAGTTACATTGGCGACAGTGGCAACAGTACTGAACACACTCAGGTTCGGCTTTGCTCGCTACACTCCGTTACCTCGCAATGGATCCTTATGACGAATACATGCACAACCGAATATTGCCAATCCAGAAAATGTAGTCGGCTACATACCATGTAGTTACATCGGCGGCAGTGGCAACAGCACCGAACACACTCAGATTCGGCTTTGCTCGCTACACTCCGGTACAGGTACCTCGCATTGGATCCTTATGACGAATATATATACAGCCGAATATTGTCAATTCTATTGATCTATAAGGTGTCTATCTAATGAAAGGAGTGGTCTATTGGTCGGTAATCGAGGATCTATTATCTTACGAGTTATCTATCTATCTTTATCGTACGAAAGAAGCAAGTCGTTCGCCCGAGGACTTGTGCATACAGGAAAGTGGGTACCGACACATGAATCACCACCAAAACACTAGGAAATAACACTGGAGGGATGAATCCAGTAGTAGGATCCACTCTCTTGTGTATTGTTGGCTCGCTCATGTTCCCTTTTCAATGACTCGACGACGATCTCCTCCGTTCAGGCTGCTGATAGGGCTTTGAGTTAACAGAGCCTCTTCCGTAATGGCAGCCTCTTCCTCTGCTTACCCGAAGCGATCGACCATCGTCAATGGTATTTCCTCGGCCGTCAGCAGTACAGCAGAGAAAACAACAAATAGATATGAGTTTTGTTTTCTGTGGTCAACTGCAGACGACCGGAGACTTACTCTTGCTTTTCAAATTGCACCAACTTGGTCGTCATGGGCCGAGAACTGACTGCCATCCCATGGTCCATAGGATTCAATGAGGGATGGCTTTCGAATCTGCACCGGAGAAGGACGGCTTTGAGTGAGGCTTGATAATAGAGGTGCGATTGATTGACTATCATGATTTGAATATTTAAAGAACAACTCACCTGTTGATGGTCGAGATCTGACTGCCTTCCCCTGGTTCATAGAAATTCAATAAGAGATGGCTTTCGAATCTGCACCTTCAATAACACTCTTGATACTATGCTTACATCGTACAGTACTGTACTAGTCGTTCGATCGTTCCAACACCATTCTTGTCGGCCAAGCTTGGATTTCTCTCTTGTTTGCCATAGCAATTCAATGAGGGAGAGAAGTCAGTGCTGCACCTTCAACAATGGACTTGACTGGACCTGTACGAGTGTACGGTAGTAGGTACCAGTACGGTACAGTCGTGCGATTGGATGGAATCCTCGGTAATTCAGTTTAGCCTTAACCTTAGTAACTTCAATGGTTCTTTTTATCCACGAATCGATCTAAATCTTTCGAAGAGAACCTGTTACTTAACGATACACATGACCGTTGATTCTGCAACTGACGTGCCGCTACTCTTTTTTCCACAGTAAACGCCGGCAAATCGATTTTGGAGTGCAACTGAGGGGGTAACCAAAAGGAGCGCCGTCTCATGGAGACGGAATAGGAAATAGAAAATAGAAATAGGAAATAGGATATAGGAAATAGGAAATACCGAAAAAGGGGTATGTAGAGGGCTCAGGCAGATACCGTAGACTGCCGAGGTAAAGTTCTATTTGGGACGCTGTAAGATGCCAATATCACCATGCGGTACTGTGCCCGCAACAAGCTCACAATAATCATATCGATCCTTTTGCCGCTGCTAGCTAGCGGTACATGTAAGTAGTGTGCCAGTACGTGCACTCGCTCAGTCGGGGTCGGGTCGAGCATCCAAATTGTTGTTTTCTTCGGGTCCATCAGAACAATAGAGCCCCATCATCAGAAACCCCAACATCCCATCTAGATCTGTAACTCCTGTACCTGAGTCCGACTGTAACGTGAGAACGGATGATGGTACTGTCGTCCAGATCTCTAATGAGGGCATCGTTGTTCCTGGTGGTTGCCTTTGCTCCACGATCTTCCGCCGAGAACGCCACAGTATACATCCAGCCAGATGAATATGGGGATGAAATCTGCTGGGAAATCAGCAACCCTGCGGATGATGCTGTACTCGCAAGCGGAGGCCCATATGCAAATGAGGACACTTCTCCCAAATTTGTGGAAGTTGATCTTCCGCAACTATCTCCAGAAGAGTGTTACACCTTTAGCATTTATGACAGCGAAGCATTGGGTAAGTACTCGGCTAGCTATCTGGCGCCTCGGGCTACAGAAGTCTTGTGGCACTAAACATTCGTGTTTGTGCTTCTTGTTGTTTGAAAGGCTTTGTTGCGGTTATGGCGAAGGCCATTACCAAGTGGACTACAACGGAACAAACTTTTCGTCCGTCTTTCCTTCCTTCCCCAATGGCAGGTGGGAGCACACTTATTTTGGATCCAGCCATTGCACAAATCTGAGTGATCCCCCGGCCCAAGGCCCACCAATCTCTTCTTGTGTAACAAACAGTCCAACTTTTAGCCCCACCACAACTCCCGTCATCGCAAACATCACAATCCAACCAGATTGTTGCCCTGGTGAAATCTCGTGGGAGATAAAGGACTTCACAGGCTCAATCCTTGCATCTGGAAGTGGAGATGAAAACGACACACTCTATCTCCCAGAAATAGGGCTTGAACAATGCTACACATTCACCATTTACGACAGCGCAGGCGATGGGTAAGACCAGGGCAGATATCAACTCATTGTACTCCCTGCAGGCCGCCGCTGATCTGACTGCAAAATTTGTGTTGGTTCTATGCTCTTGGTTGTTTCATATTCTATCTTCTGCAGTCTTTGTTGTGATCATGGGATTGGCTATTATGAGCTTATTGCATACAATGAAACAACAATCGTAAATTCCAGTTTTAGGGATGCAAGAATGGAGTACAAGCACTTTGGATCAGACTATTGCACAAATCTTCCCATCACAAGCGCTCCTACTTTGCCCACGACAGACATGCCCACGTCTAAACCCACAACTACACCTCCTTGCGAAGGAGAAGAGCTTGTGGCAGAATCACAGGGATGTCATTCTGCGGAGGTGTGCAGAGACACGGCCCAGTCCTTGGGACTCATTGTGGGCCACCCCGTCTTCGGCTATGAGGGGAATTGGTCCCTGAAGGGGTGCTTCTACTATCCCAACAGTCATCCCGAGTTTCCAAACCGCGTTTTCTTTGGATCACAAGGAACCTGTGAGGAGCTTGGTGCAGCACCCAATGATGGCATCGTAAGGATCAATTGTTGGAATTCGACCATTCCTGAGATCAATGAGTTCACGCAAGCTGTTGCTACCGGTGATCCCTCCCTTGCACCATCATCAACACCGACTTTGTCCAGCACAGAACTTACCGAGTCAGTAAAGGGTTCTGTGACTTTTGATTCGACTTTGGAAGACGAGGATGATTCCTTGAACATATGGGTTGCAATCCTTGTATTTACGATCTTGCTTCTTCTCATCTTGTGCAGCCTCAACTGTGGGTACAAACGTGGTTACCTCGAAGCCGACAAGTTTGTTGACTCGAAGAAGGTGGCTCAAGACTTCCGCAAAGAGATGATGGATTCCAATTTCCTGATTCTGACTTTCGAGCGTGGTTGCTTTACAAGATGGTTTTCGTGTTGCTTCCGTGATAAAAGCCTCATGTTGCCCGAGGAGACCCAACGAAAGGCCCTCTTCTTCACAACGCGAATCAAGCGTCGTTGGAACCCTGCCATGGCCTTCCTCCAGTTGTTGTTTGGCTGGGTCACTCTCATCAGCACCATTATAGCCGTCATCGATCCTTCCATTACAATCAATCTCATTGTGGGGTCCTGTATTATGTTTATGGACGAGTTGCTCCTCCATCTTTGGTATGGATATCTACGTTACCCAAATCCTATCACCCAGTGTTGTAGAAACCGGAAGAAGGAGAAGCAAGACAAAAGCGTCTTTGGGAAGATGCGAAGGTTATTCTCTATCCTTTACCATGGGGGTGACACAGAAGACAAGTACTCCAAGTACATCGACGTTGTTGGGTTCCCCTTTGTTCTCATTCAGCACGTTGGAACGCTCACTGCTTGCATTGTTTTGTCGGTTGGGCCAAGAAGAATCAGGAGGATGCTTTCAGGGGAGCAAGACGAAGCTGAGGAGGAGGAAGAAGAAGTGGAGGAAGAAGAAGCAGAAGAACCACCACAAGAAACAGAGGAGCACCAGGAGGGGGAGGCAGTTGATGAAGAAGCACCTCTGGAGGAACTGGACGAAGGACTAGAGGGCGGTGAAGAAAATGGGGAAGACGAGGAAGAAACTATCAAGAAAGAAAAGGACTTGCAACTGCTGGTGCCTGCGGCAGCTCTAATTGGAGTTCTAACTGGAAGTCTTGCTTTTCCCATCATTTTTATCATTACAACGTCGGCGTATGGGAAGGCCCTTGTCTCACTGGCGCATTTCATTGAGAAAGAGTACTACGAAGCCAAGCTCTTTCGAAAGAGTCTGGTCGAGTTCCTGACTGGTATTCTTTGCAAGGCTTTCACTGACTTCGTTGGTGTTCAAGACTTTGGAACTGAGAACGATGGATTCGTTGACTTCCTCAAGCATGTCGTGAAATGGAAGTATGAACTCGAAATACTGGATACGGAAGACCTTGATGATGCCTCGCAAGCTCTCGCAAACACAACCAAGGGGGGACTGCTCGTCAACAGTGCAGGTGGGTCAAACAGATCTGTCACTCATAGCCCCACCGAGAGAGACGAAACGGAAAGGCAGCCAGACCAGACCCTAACGAAAGCCCCCGCCCCAACAAGAGAGGCGCCAGGAGTGATGCCCCCAGCCAGCGAGTCAACTACCCCTGCCCAAACGGCTGAGCCAGCCACTTGTCTCTCAAACGATATGGATAGGCCGGACCAGCCCTCAACGATCGTGCCCTTCGAATCCCCAACAGCAGAGGAGTCCCCAGCCCCTGACTCCACCAAGGACCCTCCCCATACAGCCGAGCCAGCCGATTTTCCATTTTCATTGGTCCCATACGAGCAAGAAGACCGCCTTATTGCTGTCTGTAAATGCCACAATCAAGAGATCTGTGAGGAATGCTGTTCCGACTACAGCCTAATGAATGAGTTGGCGGGAAGCAGTGACTATCTTGATGTGAAGGACCAGCCCGCCCCTCGGTTAGAGGTTACTGCGGAGGTTGTGGGGGACTTTGTGCAGAAACTACCAACGCCCAGCAACCCCACGAACCAGGAATTGTCCGCGCGGGCACACGACTTGGCAGCTGGGCTGGTCCAGGATTCTTCGAGGACGCAGCATGAAATCGTTGAACGTATGGCCTGTGTTTGCTTTATCAAACGCAACTCCTCTCCTCTGGAGATAAGAAATGACTTCTCCCCTGCTGTTGACAAGGCCACACAGAGTCTCGTGGAAGCAATGGAAGCAACTCGTCACAGTTGATTTCGCAGCTTGAACAAAAGATGGGACCAGGCCCAACTCCGAAATGACCAGAGCTACACCGTATGACGCAACCAAATGGAGAATTGCATCATTCGGGCCCCTTCCTATAATTACCACCAACTATACAACCTAAACAACAACAGAGATGAGCCACGGCCGACAAAACAACAGAAACAAACCAAGCAAGTCTACATTTCCCCCTTCATGCAACGAACAGACGAATAAAAGCGTCTCCCCAGCAAGAGGAGTCACAGGTCATCTTCAAAAACCTATTCGTGGATATATTAAACCCCATCGAAAGAAATGTAATTCTCGAGTCTCAGTCGAGTCGAATCAACTACGAACGAAAGATGGGGCAAGAACGAGGCAGCGAGCCCATACTTATAATAGTGTCGCTAGCTAGCTAGATCTATCGTTATCGTATCAGGTGGCGCTCGGACGGTCAAGAGGCACCATTTCTGCCGTTACCGGTACCGTACCGGTAGTACCGGTACTGGTACTGGTTCCATGTATGTACCGTCCGGTACCGTGTACATGAAAGCCATCAAAGTTGTGCCAAATCAGATCCCTCCATGCTTGCGGCTGGCAGTGGTCTACTAGCTAGCTAGTGTCTTTCGTTTTTCACTTCCTCCCACACATGCAGCAATTTTAAAATTAAGCGAGGCCCCTCCCTACAATTCACAATCTCCCGGAAGGTCCCCCATACCGGTATGATGAGTCATGGTTACAATGATGACTGGTACTTAATTAAAGAAATTTCATCACGTCACTTTTTCATCACGAGATGACGTAATGAATCGTGCTTAGCCGTGATGAACCGTGATGAAAATCAGTCCCGTGATGAATCCAGTGATGAATTCATCACGCCCGTGATGAATGGTGATGAATGGTGATGAATTTAGAAACTCTGTGCTGAATGGTGATGAAATGTCAATGAAAGCACACATTCGAAGCTCGGAACACTCTCTGCTACTCTCCTATCACTAGACAATAGCAGTCGCAACAAAGGAAGAGCCATGCTAAAGCTGTTAACTCTACGTGTAAGCATCGAAAAGTGTCATCGTTCCATTCTCGATTTCGTACTAGGTGACACAGCAGATAGACTCTACAGAAACTTTGTGGTCGCCAAGGCCATGGCGCCAGAGGCTTGTCATATATTTCCAGCATTTGATTGATTGATTGATTGATTGATTGTCTCATGTCGGGCCAGCATCCTGTCTTTGAACTCTATAATTTCCGGAGGATCAAATTCATTAATTGTGGCTTCCATGTGCAAAGGAGAATCTCGTATGCTAGCCCTGCATTACCGCCTAGTTTGTAACTTGACCAATCCTTGGAAAATGGTCAAGGCTCTTCTGTTGGGATATGAGTGCCATCAATAGAGAAGAGGAAGATTAGATCTTGGTCTGCATAGTCATGAAGGGTGCCAATCTTTTGCTTCAAAAGATTGGCCACTTTTAGAGTCCAGTGCTTGACGTGATCACCAAAGTTTATTTCGCCAACTCTGAAAAAAAGAGCTGTGCTCTTCTCTGTGTCATACTTCCATAGCCATCGAAAAGCCATAAGCAATTTGATTGGTGTCCTTGCCTCTTTTGGTGTAAGTTTGATTGCCTTATCTTCAGATTCTAACATATCATTCCAAATTGATGCATAAGTAGCTGGAGTTGGTCCATAGCAATCCTTAAAACGCTCAATATTGCGCTCCAACTTGAACGCATGCCATCGTACTTACCCAGCTGTCTTCAGACCTAAAGCCATGAAGTCCTTAGCAGTCATCTTGTTGGCAGCCGCCATGGCAGCAGCAATAAGCAATGAGGATGTACCACCTCTAGCTAGCTGTCGAAAGAAAGACCTAGAATGAGGGGAAAAGTGAGCTAGGGTAGGAGCAATGCTGATCAATGAGCAAAAGTTTGATGCTGGATTGACATTTCAATCAGGCTATCCAGTCTTTAGCACGTTTTTGACGGCCAACCATGTCAGCAAAAAGGAAGATGCGGCTGCCACAGCAAATCTATCGGAGAACGATATCCAGGAAATCTTGGAACTGGCCAAGGATCCCAATATCGGAAACCGCATTGTGCGGAGTATCGCTCCAAGTATCTATGGACATGACTTTTGCAAGATGGCGCTGGCCATGAGCTTGTTTGGAGCAGTGCCCAAGAACGTCAATGACAAACACAGGATTCGCGGAGATGTGAATGTATTGTTGCTGTAAGTCTAATATCAATTATCTAGTGTGTTATTATTGTTGAAGGCACAGCACTCACTTCTATCCCTCATTGAATTCCTATGGTAAACAGGGGGGATCCAGGTACTGCCAAGAGTCAGTTGCTCAAGTATGCAGAGTACACAGCCCCTTGAGCCGTCTACAGCACTGGTAAGGGCGCCAGTGCGGTTGGATTGACAGCCTCCGTCCACAAGGACCCGATCACCCGTGAGTGGACGTTAGAAGGAGGTGCTCTGGTCTTGGCGGATAAGGTGAGTCAAGTCTGTTGAGTGTTACAAACTTGCTTTGGCCGATGATTCCTAGAACGAGGGCACTCACATGTTGCTGTGTTTCCTGTCGTCAAGGGTGTTTGTTTGATCGATGAATTTGACAAGGTGAGTTGGTTGAATATATACAGACAGTGCACATCAGCATCTTCGCCCACCAAATAGCGCTGATTCTTGTTTCAGTTTCCAAGACAGGAATTGTGACATCGCTTCAGGCTCGATGCTCTGTGATTGCAGCCGCCAATCCAAATTTTGCCATTAGTCAATTTGACAGAACTGAATCTGGATTTTAATGTGATTGTCAGCCTCCCATCGTCCATGGCACAATTGAAAAAGCTCAAGACACTCTCTTTTGCGACGGGATACAGCTTACAATTCAGCTTTACAGCTTTACAATTAGCAGGCTTATTCTAGAAAATAATCAATAACTGCTCACTTATTTGGAAATACAAACTTTACATCTCTTAGATCGTCAGATTAATCAATACACATGGTATTGTCGCATGGTAGCATGCGAGGTTCTGAGATGTTACTCAGTTTTCTTATATGTCTATCCTTATGGTTGTCAATGGATTCGCTACTCCTTGATGCAGACTGCTCCTAGTTTCTTCTTGCAGTCTTCATCTGTAGTTGTCATCTCTTGATACCCTCTTCTTTATCCTGTTGAGATCTAATCTCAACGAGATCCTATCTTGGATCGCCGAAAGCATCCCTTGATTCGCTCGTAAGCAATCTCCCATCTCCTGTCGTCGATCGAAATCGCGATGAGGATCCTATGTTATACGGTGGACTCCTATGGGAGTCCACCCTTTACTGATCGATGCAGAACCTTCAGCATGATCGATCGTCGATCGGCCGAGTTAACAGAATTCATCGAAAAATGAGCCCGACTGCATATGGAAGGCTCGGCTTGTGTGTCATGCCTTGATCATGCTTCGAGGGTCTTTATTATCGATTCCAGTTGGCTGAGTCATGCTTGCCTTATATCTTCGGAAACTCCTCACTTTTTCGTTTCAAATCGAATGTACGTGAAGAACAACAACGCGAGCGATGGACGGAGCAACAACAACAACAACAATCATCGCTCGTGTTGTTGTTGTTGCTTACAAAGAACTGGCATTGGTCGTTTGAACTGGCTTGCAGTTGGTCGTTTTAACTGGCTTGCAGTTGTATTCAAACGACCGATCTAGGATCTGGT